ATATATATATATATATATATATATATATATATATATATATATATATATATATATATATATATATATATATATATATATATATATATATATATATATATATATAAAGGGGCTAATAATTTTGTCCTTAAAAGGGTGTTTAAGAAATAAATAACTGCTTTTATTCTAGCCGAAATAAAACAAATAAAACTTTCTCCAGAAGAAAAAATATTATCAGACATACTGTGGAAATTTCCTTGCTCTGTTAAACATCATTTGGGAAATATTTAGAAAAGACAAAAAAATTCAAGGGGGGCTAATAATTCTGATTTCAACTGTATGTTTAGGTGGTCATATTATTCTTGGTTCTCAGCCCTCTCTGCAATGCAAATGACTCCCCATAGTTGTTCAAATATTGTCATGATGGTACATTTATTTAATAATATTTCAATCACTCTTCGAAAACCTGTCACAGATATACAGAAGCTTTATATGTGTATTTAACATATACAATCAGTAATTTACATATTCAGTTATTTTACTGCATAGCTTCTCATGGAATTCAACTCCAACCCGGGAAGAACATGCAAACTCCACACAGAAATGCTCACTGGCCCAGCCGGGACTCAAACTAATGATCTTCTTGCTGTGAGGCGACTGTGCTTACCACTGAGCCACCGTGCTGCACCAAAAGAAACTCATAAAGGTTTAAAACTACACGAGGGAGAGTAAATTATTGAGTTCATTTTTGTGTGAACTACCCCTTAAAAATAGACTAAAGCAGAAAATGGAACAAAACAACAGTCTGACACTTCAGATTATCACGTTGGCATGTCTGACCTCCCTCTGTTCTCTGGCAGGGAGGCAGTGAGCAACTTCCTGACAGCTCTGCACCAGCAGAGGAAGAGCAGGAGCCACAAGGTGATGTCGAGCAACATCTGGGCCGCTCTGCGCATCGCCCTGTCCCTCATGGGTCAGCCAGAACTTTTCCAGGCAGCCAGTGTGGGAGACCTGGACCTCTTGATGAAGGCCTTCAACATGGACATGTGATCGAACCCGGACCTGTGAAATCTGTCATTCGCTGACAGCAGACACAAAAGCGAGGCTAGACCGAGTACGGGATGTCAATTTGATATTCAGAGAGTGCACATCTATTTTTGTTGCATTTATGGGCAGCCTTTGTCTTCTTCAGAGGCCGCTGAAGAGGGCGTATGTACAGTGGAGATCGAAATTATAAACACTTGATTTTCATTTTTTTTTTAAATAATGTAATTGCATTATTTAAAATTGGGAGGTATTTGTATTGTAGCTATACTTAGCCTGCAGGACAGTTTTACAACACAACTAAACACTTCCAAAAAAAAATTTGAGTACAGCAAAGGTTGTAGCATGAAGAAAGATTACCACCAAAATTTCTGGAGGTTAAAATTTCGCCAAGAACTTTCTAGAGATTTTTAATAAGGTTTACATCAGGACTCTGGGTCTGCCATTTCATTATTCAGCTTAAGGAGCTGCTTTACATGTTTTGCTGTGTGACAGTGCTTTCATTGTCCTGCATGAAAATGCTGTCTGACTGTGTGATGAACACAGGGAAGAAAACACACTACCCAAGGAGCTTCTGATTTGCATTTGTATTAATTTTGTCATGTACACATATAAAGCCAAAAACACCACCGAACTCTTATTTTGGCACAATAATCAAGGATTTCTGCTGCTGTACCATGGCACAATAATTATGCAATGTCTAAAAATATTCCCTAGTTAAGTAACTTCCAATGTAATAACATGCTTGCACAGGGAGTTCCTTAATTTTTACGAGGGAATGATGGTACCTAGCCTATCGGCCTAGAAAATAACAACTTTTCATTTTCTGTACCTCTTAGTACAAGATATAACTACAGACATGTCAAGCTCTTAAATAGGAAAAAAATATAAACTTTTTGCTCATTATTGAGGAAGATGCTAATGGTCTATTCGGATTCAATTATTTATGCTAAGCTAAGCTAAAAGTGCTTACGCCAGACCCAACGATTGGCTTAATGGATTCAAAAATGCTCTCATTCTGGCATAATAATCAAGAATCTTTGCTGCCGTGTCATGGCACAATAATATTACGCAGCTCCTAAAAATAGTCCCCAGCTAAGTAACTTCCAAACTGCTTGCACAGGGAGTTCCTTGATTGTTATGCCAGAATGAGAGTATAGCACCTAGCCATATCAGCCTAGAAAAATAGTAACGTTTCATTTTCTGTAGGTCTTAGTACACGATGTAGCTACATAAGAGTCAAGCTCTTAAATAGGAATTTCTTAATTTATTTTTCGGCCATATTGAGCAAGATGCTAATGGTCTAATCTGATTCAATGATTTATGCAAAGTTAAGCTAAAAGTGCTAACGCCAGACCATAAGTGGCTGAATAGATAAAAAATGCTCTGATTCTGGCACAGTAATCAAGAATCTTTAAGTAATTTCCAAACTTCTTGCACAGGGAGTTCCTTGATTATTATGCTGCAATGAGAGTACAGTACCTAGCCTATCGGCCAAGAAAAATAACAACTTTTCATTTTCTGTTGGTCTTAGTACATGATGTAACTACAAAGAAGTCAAGCTTTAAATATAAAAAAGTCTAAACTCTTTGGTCATTTTTGAGCAAGATGCTAATGGTCTAATCTGATTCAATGAATTATGCTAAGCCAAGCTAAAAGTGCTTATGCCAGACCCAACGATTGGCTGAATAAATTTAAAAAATGCTCTCATTTTGGCATAATAATCAAGAATCTTTGCTGCTTTACCATGGCACAATGATATTGTGCAGCGCCGAAAAATAGTCCCCAGCTGTTATTGATTTGTACAGGGAGTTCCTTCATTATTACGCTGGAATGAGAGTACCGTACCTAGCCATATCGGCCTAGAAAAATAGCAGCTTTTCATTTTCTGTTGGTCTTAGCACATGATGTAGCTACATAAGAGGCCAGCTTTAAATATGAAAGAAAAGTCAAAACTCTTACATCGTTTTTGAGCGAGATGCTAATGGTCTAATCCGATTCAATGATTTATGCTAAGCTAAGCTAAAAGTGCTTTCGCCAGACCCGAAGAACGACTGAATGGATTCAAAAATGGTCAAATGCAACTGTTTAACTCCAGGGTAGTTGCAAAAATGAGCCTATTTGCAAAAAGTGGAGTGTTCTTTTAAAAACAGGAGAAAAGGACTAAGAGGTGACCACGAAATTCAGAAAAATGTAAGCTGTTCTATCAATTTTGATCTCCACTGTCTTTTACTGAGCACAAACAAAGGAGGTAAGAGAAAAGTAAAGCACTTTTGTTAGTGATATATTACTGTAATGTTTTTAAGCTTATTTTAAATCTTTGTATACTTGAGGAAAATGAACCAAACCTTGTTGAGGAATATCAAAGGTGTTTTTAGGATTAGAATGGAATATTAATCCTCTCAACAACAAAAACTAGCAATTTATCATGGCCAATTCTCATCCAGTTTAGTTTTTGTCCATCAATTCATCTCACAATATAAGTTCATGCTCTTCACCACAAGGTGACGCTGTTGTTCCACTTAAGAGAGTAAAGCCATACAACATATCCAGTCAGTTCCAATCTCAGAAGTCAGGTGCATTGAGGAATGACACTATAGCGGAGTTATACCTAAGGACACAACACTGTTTCGGGGGTGATCTACGCCCAGGTGTGCGGGCAGGGTGTGTCCCCCAGGCCATCTGTCTTCCAGCAAGCCACTTTTTAATGCGCTGTGCTGCAGGGCATTGTGGATCAGGGCTCGGTAGGGGAGCAACTTCAAAGGCGCTGCGTGAAAGGTCACAGCAAAAGCAGCATCATGTTGAAAGTGAGCGAGTTTATGTTTGAACGTGAGCCCGAACGTTTAAAAGGAAAGGAATAAATTCGCCAATCTATAAACAACATCATCTTGGTCATACGGTTCCGCTCGGCAAGTTTAAAGTGCATTTAATGTGACTGGAAGCCCTTTATCTTGTAGCGCTATACAGTTATGATTTCAGCCCCTTTGTGTTAGGTTGGTATATTTTTGAAGACTTAACTATGCAAACCTTAACCTTTGTTTTTATTTTAGATTTACCAAAAATCCTAGCAGGTGTCCTTCAGATTTCTCTTTATAATTTTGCCACTATGCATTATTAGTGAGCTGAGATTATTGAAGGACACCGAATGAGACATTATAATATAACCTTTGGGCAAAAACAGACTAAACTGCATTACTAGACGCACATACAGTTTAAACATTATAAAAGAATTGAGGAAATCTGCATCTGCATGTATGATACACAAACCCGATATTCTGCTATTTACACTCACCGGCCGGTTTATTAGGTACGCTTGTCCAACTGCTTGTTAACGCAGATTCCTAATCAGCCAATCACATGGCAGCAACTCAATCCATTTAGGCATGTAGACATGCTCAAGACGATCTGCTGCAGATCAAACAGAGCATCAGAATGGGGAAGAAAGGTGATTTAAGTTACTTTGAATGTAGCATGGTTGTTGAGATGAGTATTTCAGATACTGCTGATCTACTTGGATTTTCACAAACAACACGTCCAACCTTGAAGCGGATGGGCTACAGCAGCAGAAGACCACACCGGGTGCTACTCCTGTCAGCTAAGAACAGGAAACTGAGGCTACAATTTACATAGGCTCACCAAAACTGGAAGATAGATGATTGGAAGTCTGATGAGTCTCGATTTCTGCTGCGACATTATGGCATAAACAACATGAAAGCATGGATCCATCCTGCCTTGTATCAACGTTTCAGGCTGCTGGTGGTGTAATGCTGTGGGGGATATTTTCTTTGGACCCATTAGTAACAATTGAGCATCGTGTCAACGCCACAGCCTACCTGAGTATTGTTGCTGATCATGTCCATCTCAGACTGGTTTCTTGAACATCTTAATGAGTTCACTGTACTCAAATGGCCTCCACAGTCACCAGAACTCAATCCAATAGAGCACCTTTGGGATGTGGTGGAACGGGAGATCCACATCATGGATGTGCAGCCGACAAATCTGCAGCAACTGCGTGATACTGTCATGTCAATATGGAGCAAAATCTCTGAGGAATATTTCTAGCACCTTGTTGAGTCTATGCCGTGAGGGATTAAAGCAGTTCTGAAGCCAAAAGGAGGTCCAACCTGGTACTAGTAAGTTGTACCTAATAAAGTGGCAGGTGAGTGCATCTTTAACCTTCAAAGTGAATGTAATTACTATTAATGTACATTTTTCAAGCAAAATTACAACATGCTATAAATAGACGTGTGTGACAATATTTAAAAGCATATGCCATGTATGAAGCACATTACAAGGGCATTATTTAAGACACTTGTCTTGTAGTAAATCACAATAGTTTTGCTATGACCCGAGCTGTTATGTAAGGATACATCAAATTATTAGCTAATAAATGCATATATATAGAATAGCAGAATGAAATCTATTTATTTTTTATTCATGTAAAATAGATCATTTCATTGGAATGAATAGTCATAATAAAATGTATGCATGTCTACCCATCAAGTACCATCTTTCAAGCTGTCCTTCATTAACATGTAATTTACCCAAGATGCATTTATAACCAGTTTATTAAAGGTGTATTTTAGAAGAACTGAATATGAACGGGTGTCTTGGTTTTATTTCTAAATGAGTGGCACGTGGTGATCCCTGACCTTTAAAGGATTTCGAAATGGTGTTGCCTGAGCACCCCCCACAGGCACACGCCGAACACTGCTTTCCTCATATCTGAAGAGATGCGGTGCGACAAATGTCACCTTTTACCTGCTATACTTAAAGGGGACCTTTCATGATACAATGACTTTAATAAGGGGTTTAAAGACAAAATTGTGCATCTAATGCAGTGGTCACCAAACTTGTTCCTGGAGGGCCGGTGTCCTGCAGATTTTCGCTCCAACCCTAATCAAACACACCTGAACAAGCTAATCAAGCTCTTACTAGGTACACTTGAAACACCCAGGCAGATGTGTTGAGGCAAGTTGGAGCGAAACCCTGCAGGGACACCAGCCCTCCCGGACCGAGATTGGTGACCCCTGATCTAATGGTAAAAAAATATTAATTATATTTTTTATAATCACACTAGGAAGACATTCTTTCTTTGTACGTGTCATCAAAGTGGGAAAGCCCCACCCATTAGTGACAATAGCCCCTTTCACACAGTGATACCGGAAAATTTCCAGAACAACTTTACCGGTTAAGTTTAAATAGGTTCCGTTCAAATAACACAGGCAAGCAGGGGTGCTTGCAGGATTTTATTTGAAGGTACGCACATATCCAGCACCACCCTGCCCCATATTCCCCTATTCTTATTTCAATCTCAAAAAACACTGATGCTTACTGTCAAAGGCAACATTATTTAAGGACATCGCCGCGAGTGAGACTGTGAAAATGAAAGTATCATTGTATCTTAATTTTAATTTTTTTTTTTTTGTTGGTCAGTTATCTACTACACAAACAAGAATAATGAATCAAAACCAGTCCACTATATGCTTCAGTGCCAAAACACAAACTGGTTTGTTAAATAAAATAATAATCTAGATTCTAGCCTAAATAAAATTAACGTGAAATATTCAC